AAAAAAAAAAAAAAAAAAAAAAAAAAAAAAAAAAAAAAAAAAAAAAAAAAAAAAAAAAAAAAAAGAAAAAAAAAAAAAGAAAGAGCAGAGAGTTAATATAAAATTATCTATTAAGCAGGATTAAGGCAGGATTGGATACCTCCCTAAGTTGGGCAGTCTAATCCTCAACCTAGAACCTAGAAGAGAGAAAGAAGCTGTGAACTTAACTGCCAGTGTCTTGAATGTTTGTGTTGTTGAAGCTGGTTGACGTGGTCGTATCCCCAGGGTCTCAAACTCAAATTTTCACAAGAGAAAAGACAATGAGTCAATGACAATGACAACGACAATGACACCAACGAGTCCAACACAGTTGGTACAGCCAACACAGTCGGTACCCCCATGAACTGTTGAATTACAGACCGGGTCCCAAGTTGGACTCCTGATGGACCTGGGGCCGGTAAACTGGATGATGATATGATTGATATCTCAAGACTGACTATGACAATGACGACGATGATGAGGACGACAGAAACAACGACAATGTCGATGAAGAGAGAGCCTACCTTTCCCCTCGGCTTCCCAGCATAAATCCCTGAAGAAAATGACCCCTGGTCGTCCTCGTCACCATCTTGCTCTTCTTCCTTTACTTTCTCTGTCAAAAGCCGGTACTGCTCCCTACAGTGTTCAGGCTTTCTGAATACACCCTACTCATGAGTCACGATTGAGTTCCGACGCCATCGCAAAAAACAACGACAAACAGAACTGTTACCTTGGAGAACGGTCAAACCCTAAAAGGCTAAAACATACCAAGTTTTCCCCAGGATAAAAATCATAAAACTGAAGAACAACTATGAAATTGCCTTTGTTCTGAAAGAAAAGGATAAGTGTTGACTCTGTTGAGCAAACAAATGAAAAAGGAAGTACTATGATAAGTGTTGACTCTGTTGAGCAAACAAATGAAAAAGGAAGTACTATGTGCATTGTCTGGGCTGTGTCTGAGGGCATACTCACAATAGAACTTTTTCTTACTGAATTTACGGACGCAATTGTGGTCAGATGCATCCAGATCCGGCTGTGAATGCGGTCAGAATCGCCGTCAGATGCATTTAAAATAGTGCTGCTGTGAGTATGCAGCGAATGTCATTCCGTTTGAAATTTGAAGTGACAAAATAAACCAGTAGCTAATGTAGTAGCAAAAACATACCAAAATGCCACATCAAGGATGGTGGAACAGTGTTCTGGTGTACAGGAAGCATGGGGCTGAAGCCGCTGAAGATTTACAGGCCCTTGATCTGGTGCCCAGCGGGCCAGCAGCAGGGTGAAGCGGCTCCATTTTTGCATTTTATCCTTGACACTCTTTAAGGAAATAGCGGTCCTCGTGTAATGCTCCCGCTAGAGGCCGCTTTCCACTGTTGGGAAACGCAACGGGACCGGCAGGCGGGCCCAACAGATACCGCGCACGTCTTTCGGGCCGGGCCGAACTGGTGAGAGTCGTCGGGATTGTCGACCGGGCCTGCGTTGGACGGCCCAATAGAGTTTTCGGGATCCGCGCCAGGTGATTCCCGAAACTTGTATCGGGCCATCCAACGCAGGCCCGGACGGCGATCCTGACGGCTGTGGCCGGTTCGGCTTTTGCATTTATGTGGTGCTTCCCGCGATGATGTTTGGATTTGCTGTTTCGATCGCTTTGCTGTTTCGATCGCTTTGCTGTTTCGATGCGACTCGGTTCGACGATATGTGCTGCTTCCCGCGGTGATTGATCGCTTTGTTGTTTCGACGCGACTCGGTTGGACGAGAGAAAGAGAGTTTGGTTCGAAGAGAGAGAGAG